AGATTGCGAGAGGATGTCCAGTTGGAGAGGGCGCAGGCTGGGTTGCGGGGAACCCCCCCTTCCATGCACGAATTTCATAGGTTATAAGATACTCAGCATTGAGTTAGTGATATGAATATAACAAAAGCTCAATGAAGTATATGTCAAAAGTGACAAAAGAGGCAGCATTAAAGTAGTTGATAGTAATTGGAAAGGATTTACTTAGATCAGGAGTGAGATAATGAAATGAACATAGCAGATTCAGCAGATCGAAAAATTGGGCCTACCCAACCAGAGTTATAAACAAGTTCAGGACTAAAAACAACTGGGGTTATAAATAAGTCTATATCTAGGAAACTCTACTCATGTAAAATTCTCATCAGAAATAAAGATCTGATGAAAGCCTTTCATTATATTCTGCTTCTTTAGCAGCAAAGATGATATTAAGTTAACAAAGGCAAGACTAAAAAGGCAAGGATAACTTTTGAGATGCTAACAGTAGCACTCTTAGAAAATCTAGAACTACTCCAGAAAATATTTTGCAGAAAGAAAATACAGTTGAATAAAAAGTGTTAAGACCTGCCCTGACCAGGTAGCTCAGTTGGTTAGAGCTGCCTTCCAATATGCTAAGATTGCAGGTTCAATCCCAAGTAAGAGCACATACAGGACACAACCAATGAATGTATAAATGGGTAAAATAACGAGTCGATGTTTCTCTCTCTCAAACCAATAAAAAAAAAATTTAATTTATTTTAAGCATAAGACCTTAAGACCAAAAATCAGAGGACTAGGATTTGAGTTCCAATTTAAGCAAATAATCCCATGCCCAGTAGGCCTCAATTCCTTATCTAGATTATGGACAAAATAATAACAAAAAATAATATAGAAATAAGAATAGCAGCAGCTTTTTTTTCTAATGGTTCTTATGTTTTAGGCACAGTTCTAAATTTTTTTACATGTATTAACTCACTGAATCCTTACATTAATTCTATGGAGGTGATTTATCCCTGCTTCACTGATGAATAAATGAAAACAGAAAAGTTAGATCAAATGTCCAGAGTCACATAGCTATTGTGATAAAAGCAAAATTTCAACCTGTATAATATGCCCTGGATTTTTTTTTACTATGTTCTTCTGCCTCTCTGGGTTATGAAGATGAAAATGTAGCAAAATGTATTTTAAGAATATACAAATGCTCATCATTACTGCTGAATATCAATCAAGTAACAGGACAAAATAATCCAAACAAAATCCTAGATCATTAATTTACAGTCAACATTCCAAAAAAAATGTATATATTATATGCTGGGGGTGAGTATAAACCTTAACATGCATGTGCTTTGTCCTTAAAAAGTAGGGAGACAAGATATTGACAAAATGAACATGCTGCTTTTCTATGATGGGCTGAGGTAAGGAGAACAATCAATGATACAGAATAAAGAGCTTGAAAATCACAGCTTCAAAAAATAACAGCACTAAAATAACAGCAAAAGGATCAGGAATAACTGAGCCAGAAAAGAAATTAGCGTAATTCTTTTTTAAGTAAAGGTTTCTAATAATTATAAAGCTTTTTAAAAAAGAAAGATAACATTTCATGCTGAAACCAGTTTGGCTCAGTGGTAGAGCATCGGTCTGCGGACTCAAAGGTCCCAGGTTCGATTCCGGTTAAGGGCATGTACATTGGTTGTGGGCACATCCCCTGTAGGGGGTGTGCAAGAGGCAGCTGGTCGATGTTTCTCGCTCATCGCTGTTTCTAGCTCTCTATCTCTCTCCCTTCCTCTCTGTAAAAAATCAATAAAATATATTAAAAAAAAAAAAAGGAAAGATAACATTTCAAATAGTAACAAGTTTTTCAGAGCAACAGATTTCACATATGCACACCACAGAAGGGGATTATCACTACCAAGTAAAGGTCCTAGCCATATTATAAATACTGTAATAACAAAAATTGTTGATACTTACTGGGCACTAGCAAAAATCACTGTTCTAAGCACTTTACATGTATTGATTTATTTAATCTTTACAACAAACCTGTAAGTCCTACTATTATCCCATTTTATAGATAGGGATAATGAAGTGAATAAAGTAACATGCCCAAGTTTACTCAACAAGGGGCAGTGCTAATATGGCAGACTAAGGCAGTTTGCTTCCAGAGTTTGTGCTATTGTACTTCCTTTAGTAGGAAACTAAGAAGCAGAACAAGAATTTATTCAGAAGTATTTATTCAGTCATATTTGGCAACTAGGAGGAAAGTGCCTTTCACTCACGATAAGCAAATAATACTTCATCTACAGCAGTTCTGTCCTTGGCTTTCCCTCCAAATTAAGACTGCACATTTCTCCTGGGCTTTCATCTCCTCTGCTTCAATTACAATCAACTTACTGATGGCTCCCAAATCTAGATCTTCATTCCAATCTCTCTTCTGCACCTAAAACCTGTACCAACAACCTAGTAGACTTTTCCCTCTGAATGCTTCATAAGCACCTCAAATGAGCATGTGCAACACTGAATCATGATATCCATTCCACCTCATTTCTACCCTCAAACCTATTCTTCCTCCTGATTTTTTTTTTTAATTGCTTTCAGAGAGGAAGAGAGAGGGAGAGATAGAAACATCAATGAAGAGAGAATCCTTAATAGGCTGCCTCCTGCACTCGCCCTGCTGGGGATCTAGCCCACAAGCTGGGCATGTGCCCTTGACCAGAATCGAACCCAGGACCCTTCAGTCCCCAGGCTGACGCTCTATCCACTGAGCCAAACCAGCGCGGGCCCCAATATACTTTTAAGACAATTTATTTTATCGCCATTCCCATTTTACAGATGAGGAAACTTAGGCACAAAGAAGTCAAAAATTTGCCTAAGGACACAGCTAATAGTCCACAGGCTGATGTTCTATCCACTGAGGATAGAACCAACAAGGGCCTAACTTTACTTTATAAGGCTATGTTAATTTGAATTTAGTGTTAGTTTTGCAAAACCGATCTTGAGTGTATGTGTATGTGGGTATGTGTGTGTGTTGTACTGTCCCATCTGAGGACAAACTCCATAGATGGAGAGCAAACATTGTATATGTTTCATATCTAAATTCCTAATGTGCACATTTCTTGAACAGCGCAATGTTCTCAGAGATGAACTTTTGGTTCCATTAAATAAATTAATACTAAGCATGGTGTCAAGTAATATATCTTTTTTTAAATGGCACTGCCTTCAGAATCAAGACCCAATTGTTTTACAAATAAAGTACTAAGCCGAGACAGGTTTGGCTCAATGGATAGAGCGTCGGCTTGGGGACTGAAGGGTCCCGGGTTCGATTCCGGTCAAGGGCATGTACCTTGGTTGCAGGCATATCCCCAGTAGGGGGTGTGCAAGAGGCGGCTGATTGATGACTCTCTCTCATCGATGTTTCTAACTCTCTATCTCTCTCCCTTCCTCTCTGTACAAAATCAATAAAATATATTTAAAAAATAAAAATAAAATAAAAATAAAGTACTAATTGAGTATTAAATCAATCACAACTCTTTAGGATATGCTAATCATTGTAAGTGTTCAGTGATAGCTAGTATAGGCCATGCACTATGCTAAACACTTTACACACATTTTGCCATTTAATTGTCACAATTCTCCGATCTGGGTTCTGTTATCATACCCATTTTTCCAGAGGAGGAAACTAGAACTTAAGATAGCTTAAACAATTTGGCGAAGCTGGCAAGTTAGAAAATAACAGGAGGGATCTCACGTCATAGTTTAACACCAGAGCCTGGGCCCTTTGGCATTTACTATTCTGCCTCATAAGGAGAATATAAAATACATCTTTAAAACGTCAAAGAAAGAAAAAATGTAAGCACAAAGCTTAAACCAAAGAAATGTTAGGTTTAAATAGACAACGGGCCAAAACAGAGAAGCACGATGGAAGCTCAGGCGGTTAAGAAAGGACCTGTTTGGGAGGTCCAAAAAATCTTTTAAGAAACCTCAGCAAACTAAAAAGATCCAGGCCCACAGAAATACAATTGTCAAAAAAAAAAAAAAAATGCATTGTCAATGTTTCTTTTATTGGAACCCCATGACCCATAGACACCAAAAATGTCTAGCATCTTATACATTGGTATAATTCCACAAAGAAGTCCTACAAATACAAGAATCCTCCACAGTAATTCAATGTTTAGGTTTGCTTTTTGGGGGGGGAAAGGGGATGTCAATTTTTAGTTTTGGGGGTGGGGGGAAGAAAGGTGACAACCCACCCCAAACAGAGAAAGGAGCAGTGAGTGAAGAACACCGCCTCTCATCCATCCATCTTCTTCCTCGGGAGCTGGAAGCCCAGGGACGCACAGAAATGCACATGGCATGAGCATCCAGCTGCAGCCCACCGTCCGCCCCACGTCCTGCAGCCGCAGCCGCACGCCTAAGGTGCAGACCGCAGGCTCTTAACTTTTCATCGTGGCCGTGAATCCCGCTCTGACCTGGGCCTCTGGGCGCACAGAGGGTCCCTGTCAGATCCCTCGGGAGGGGGAGGAGGAGGCGGGGAGGAGGGCCCCAGCCCGCGCGCGCCGCTCCTTTGTCGGGGCGGAGAGGAGGGCGGCCGCCCGCACCCCCGGGGGGCGCACGGGAGGGGGGGAGTGGGCGGGGAGAGGAGAGCGTGGGGCGCAGCGCAGGCCGCGGCTTCCCCGGCGCCGGGGGTGGGGACACAAAGAATTTGGGAAGCGCCACCGATCAGCCCAGCCGGCCGGCCGAGGGGCTTCCCCCCCACGAGCCGCGGCCAAACTCCAGGCCCGGCGCCCGCGGGCCGGCGGAGGAGGCGGAGGCGGAGGCGGGCGCCCCGGGCTCTCGAGGCCCCGGAGTCGGCGAGGCTGCGGGCGCCGGGGTCCGAGGGCGGCGCGAGGCCGCAGCCGCAGGGCAGGCCGCGGGGTCCGGGCGCCCGCGCCGCCACACCCACCCACCCACCCACCCCCGAGGCCGGGCGCGGGAGGACTCCCCCGCTCTCCCTCCGGCCACGGCGACTGCGGCCCACGCCGCCCGGGATGTACCTGCTGATCTTCTGGGCGAAGGCGCGGCGCTCGGCCATGGCTGCGGCGGCGGCGGCGGCGGCGGTCCGGGCGCGGAGGGCGGGCGCGTGCCTCCCCGCTCGCGCTCCCTCGCTCGCGGCCTCCGCCAGTGCCGGCGCCGGGCTCGGGAGGCTGGGGCTGGCGGCCGCGCCGGGAACGAGCCCTACCGTAATGCTCCTGAGAGCGGCGCAGCGAGAAACCGCTCCCCCAACCCACCCCCACCCAAAGCGCGTCAATTCCCGCGGGAGTGCCGGCGGCGGGGGAACCCAGAGGAGGAAGAATGGGGCGGCGTGGGGAGGACCCAGGAGCCAACCCTGGCCCCGCGCTGCTGTGGCCCGCACGACCTACAGGACAGAGAGAGAGAGAGAGGAACCAGAATGGGGCCAGCGACCTAGCGGGAGGGGGTGAGGCAAGCGAGGGGGCCCTTCCCAAAAAGGAAGGGAAGGAAATGGGAGATGGACTTTGCTGCCCTGGGTGGCTCGGTTCGGTTCGAGTGCCAGCAGCGCCCATCTCCGACCTAGTAAAAGCACTTTTCTTTTCTCTTTCCACCGTGTGAACGGGGTCTGACTGCACAAAGAATGGTCTGTCTGACAAAGAAAGGGACGGAAAAGACCTTGCTCCTGCAGAAGTAACAGTGATAATAGCTGACGTGCGGTGCTCCGCCGGGCCCTGGATTAAAGTTTTACACGCACGACAGTGTTTAGAATTCACAATAGCTCTCTGAAGTAAGTTGTGATCGCAGTTTTGGCGAGCAGGAAACGGGTTCAGAGAGGCTAAGCGACTGGCCCCAGGTCACACAGATCGTAATCTCTGCCACTGGCCTTCAAGCCCAGAGGCCAGGCCTTTGCTTGGAGGACAAGTGTTTCTGCCTGGATAGTACTCTTCCTCAATCTGTTACTTCCCCCCCCCCCCTTTTGGATCTCATTTTCCATTATATATGCTGGACGATGCGAGCTCTACCAATTTCCTATTTTATTAAGCAATGTCTGCGTAACACTCTAAATGATCTTGCCCATTAAATCTGATTATCAAACAGGGAGTAGCAGAAAGCATGCTTTATTATTCTGTTGCAATCCCATGTGTCTAGATTGTTTGCCTCCTGGTGCACATCTGCTGTTTAGTGACGTTACAGTGAAAATAAGAACAATATCTTGGTTTCTTGTACCTTTCCTCTTAAATACTGCAAGAATTTACCCTATGTATGTATTATTATCATCCTCCCCTGTGCCCTTGTGAAGTACGTGGGATACTTATTTTCCTCTTTTACAGTTGGCAAATTTGTAGTATTCGGCCGTTAAGTTACTTGCCTGGACTCACACACTGAGTCAGAGGTAAAAACCTCCATTAGTCAGATCCAGAACTTCCTGTCCCGTGCTCTAACAGTGTGGGAGATTTCATTTATGAATTTTGTATAACAGTGCTCACACCAGCAAAGACAGTTTCCTCAAAGAGGGGATACATGTAGGTTCTACCTAAGTGTAGAGCCCACCTAAGATTCTAGGGAATACAAAACTGGATTAGGCTCAGTCCTACCCTCAGGAAGTTTGAGTCCATTGGCAAAGATGAAACGGCTGCTTATAAAACCGAAAGTCAAGGCTCACACTGTATCATGGCCTTTCAGATCCTCTGTATTAGAAACCCAATCTTATTCTGCCGCTTCCTTCCCTATGTGACGAACTTACTTAACTTCGACTCTAAAATGGGAGAAATAATTGTACCTACTTGAAAGAGTAGAGTGAGGATTCGTTCGAGTTATTTCGTACGAGGTTCTTAGAAAAGGACATACGGAAAGTACTCTATGTATTAGCAACTGTTATTATTATCACTACTGCTATCATTATTCATCATTACACTGAAGCTTGTCCTGGGTGCTTGATAGTCCCTGAATTGGTTGTCTGCTCTCAAGCCCAGCCAGATGTTGTATGCCTTTATCTCTGCTCCGCAAACATCTTTTCACCACTCTCATAGAGAACTGACCAAATTCTGTTGTGAATAGCTCTTTGTGTACATGACTCACTAGCTGCCAAAGTGTCTGGGAGGACATTGCATGCACTGTGTGGCCTGCTGGGAACATTTAGAGCAAAGAGAGGATTCGCAGGACCAAGCTGTAAGCAGGAGAGACAGAGTTTGAGGACTACTCCAAGCGAGAATGGTGGCTCCCACCTCTGGGGAAGTGCTGGCAGTCACAGACAAGACCAGTCCGGGGCAGATATCCATGTTCGACAGGGGTCCAATCTTAGGGAAATGTATGGAGTTCAACAAAGGAAGTGAGAGTGGAATTGCTTTGGCTGACCAGCATTCATGCTTCCCACACTAACCTACGCACACATGCACATATGTACACGTGGGCGTGTGTGCATACACATACACACTAGCCTCAATTCACCATACTTCTATGGAGCTGACCTCCCCACCCCAGCTCCCCTGTCATCCCAGTTTAAAGGATGAGTATGTGTGGCCTGAACCTTGGAAAGCACAGCAGCACATTCCTCTATCTTATGTAACTAATTTAGAGGTAGGCATGTGAACAAAGCCAAGACTATTGGGCCCAATCAGAACTAAAAATTATATGTGCCGTACCAGGTACCTCCATCTCATTTGCCTGAGAGTGAAGTCAAACACAGCAGAGAGGAGAGCAAAAAAAATGGGAACAAGGAGGAAGAGATAGCTCCTATAACATTACTTGATCCTTGGACTTTGCAGTTATACAAAGTAACGGTGCTGAGGTTTTGTCTGTGGTTTGGTTTGGTTTGGTTTGAGATTTTGCTTAAGCTAATTTGAGTTCATTTGGTTTTCTGACATTAGCAACGGAAAGAGCCTTACCTGATAGAGACCTTTATTTAGTCAACCAATGCTACGAGGCCCTGGAGATAGAATGGTACAATAAGACTCTTTGTGTCCTCAAGGAGTGTAGAGTCTAGTTGAAGAGATAAACAACTAAAATGTATGTTAAGTGTTAACATGGGAAAAGTTCAGGATGCTCCATGTCCATTCTAGATAGCATCAGGTCTTATCACCAGGATGCTCATTGGACATAAGGTGGTGAAAACTAGATGGAGTGTAACTATGTGTAACCCTATTAAAACTTTGTGGAAAGACTGTTTGGAACTCTGGAGCACCAATGGCTCAGATATCGATGAATTCAGAACCCAAGTCTCCCACTGATGGGAGGATACTGGCAAAGAAATGACTTACCAAAAGCCAGCACCTATTTGGCAGAACAGCCTCAAACAGTGACTTTTAAGTAAGAAAACCTCAGGACAGTTTTCCCACTGGACATACACATTGTTCTCAAGTCCTTTAAGCAGAAGACTTAGGGATGTGGCAAGAAGAAAAAAAAAAGAGGAATTCATATTAGTTTCACATTCTAACCTTTACGGAGTTCAGGTTTCCCCTTTAAGGAAGGTTATGGTGGTGACAAGGTCAAGGTTCTAAGGCCACAGAGTGTTTGTGTGACGAGGGATAAAGTTCTGGCTTTGCAGGCAGAATGTATTCTCTTGGGGGATTTGGGAGAGGGAAGGAGACAGAGAGTGGTTCCTCTGTGTAAGCTTGAGCTTTTATTAAGCATCACTAGATTGGTGCAATAAAACTGACATGAGGCTTCCTCCACTCGAAGGCTGTAAGGAAGGCCGGTGAGTGTGGCCCAGAGGAAGGGATGACTGGGCCATGCCGCTTGGGCTTACCTCAATCCCAAACTGAAGTCTGGGATTGAGCACAAAGTCTATGCTAGGGAAGCTTTTGTCTACCTCATCCTCGGTCACTCACTCTCTCTTAATGTCTAGCAATATGATTTTTACAAGAGATAATTCAGGGATTCTAAACCTACCCACACTGCACAACTAATAGCACCTATATTTACTCTTAGGTTGCTTGCTACACTATTCACGAATTGCCTATTACTCTGAATTTTCCCATTAGATTAGATCTCTTGTTCACCATTGTATTTCCAGCATCTACTACACTGCCTGATCTATTATAATCACTCTGTGGATATGTTTGAGCAAACAAATGCCATGAACTAAAATATTTTGTGATCTTAATTTCCCCAGAAGCAATGATTAATACATCACATGAATGTGTCCATCAACTCAGATGCTCTCCAAACCCCACCAATCTAGGAGTTTTGTGGAGATTCCATTAGGTAGGCATGATTGATTAATCATTGGCCATTGGTGATTGAATTCGATCTCCAGCCACTCCTCTCTTTAAAGGTCTGTGGGTGGGGCTGAAAGTCTCAACCCTCTATTCACAAGTGCTTCCTCTGGCAACCAGCCCCCATCCTGAAGCTCTCTTGGGGCCCACCAAGAATCACCTAAAAAAGATGTGGTTGAAAGGAGATAGTTATAAATAACAAAAGTTATAAATAACAAAAGATGTTCCTGTCACTTCTATCACTCAGGAATTCTAGGCTTTTAAGAAATATACATATTTTAGCCAAAACCGAAAGTTTGGCTCAGTGGATAGAGCATCAGCCTGTGGACTAAAGGGCTCCAGGTTTGATTCCGATCAAGGGCATGTACCTTGGTTGCGGGCACATCCCCAGTAGGGGTTGTGCAGAAGGCAGGTAATTGATGTTTCTAACTATCCCTTCCTGTCTGTAAAAAAAAAAATTATATATATATATATATATATATATATATAGAGAGAGAGAGAGAGAGAGAGAGAGAGAGAGAGAGAGAGAGAGATAGATATAGATATTGATATTGATATTGATATATATTGATATATATTGATATCAATATATTGATATCAATATATTGATATATATATATAATTATTTTTTATTTATTTATTTATTTTTACGAAAAGGAAGGGAGAGGGATAGAGTTAGAAACATCAATCCAGCTGCTTCCTGCACACACCCCACTGGGAATGAACCCGCAACCAAGGTACATGCCCTTGACCGAATCAAATCTGGGACCCTTTAATCCGCAGGCTGACGCTTAATCCACTGAGCCAAACTAGTTAGGGCTGGAATTCTAGGCTTTTAAACAAAGACCAATATGTATTATTGTATCATATTTCAATAAAATTATTTTTTTAAAAGAATAAAATAGACTTGAGACATACTATATTTGTCAGGGTTCACCAAAGAAACAGAATCAATCGAATAAAGAGAGAGATGTATTATAAGGAATTGGCTCATGCAGATAAGCTAAGTGCTAAGATCTGCA